TGTACATGAAATTATGTTGCTTACACCCATAGCATTCCATCTTCTGTCTTAATTGTCTACCCATGACTGTCTTCCTCTTTCATTCTTTATTCAAAAATACTCAGTGAGCATCACTATGTGCTAGACCTTCACTGTCAAAGGGTAACCACTAACCACATGTGGCTATTTAAAATAAATTAATTAAAATTAAATCAAATTTAAAATTCAGTTCTTCAGTTGCACTAGCTACATTTCAAGTGCTCAGTAACTACAGTAGCTTAGTGGCGACTGTATCGGACAGTGCAGATACAAAACATTTCTATCATAGTAGAATGTGCTAATGCACAGTGCTATGCTAGACCATGTTAGACACCAACAAAAACCACAGTGGTGCAAACATGCTCGACTGCTAACCAAAATGTTGGAGGTTTGAGTCCACCCAGAGGCACCCTAGAAGAAAGGCCTGGTGATCTACTTCCGAAAACTCAGCCATTGAAAACCCTATGGAACATGGTTCTACTCTGACACACATGGGGTTGCCATGAGTCAGAATCAACTCAATGACAACTGGCTTAGACAGAAACAATATGGATGTAAATAAGACAGTCACTGCCCTTATGGAGCTCATAGTCAAATGAAAGAGACAAATAAATTTAAAAAATTATGCTACATTGAGGAAAGTGCGGGGGCTGTGGAAGCACAGAAGAGGGGCAGCTAACCCAGTCCAAAGGAGGGGAGGGATGGTTAGGGAAGATTTAGGGGTAGAGAGGGAGATAGCTTCTAAGCTGAGGATACATAGTTAGCCAGACAAAGATAGGTGAGGGGATGTAGGGGAGATGCTTTGGGCAGAGGATTCAAAGGTGGCAGCTGGCACAATGAGCCAGGAAGTGACTAGTAGTTCAGACTGTTGAAATATATAGTATGGATGCCTTTTGGTTGGCAGCTGAGGTCTTAACCACTGTGCCACCAGGGCTCCAGTATGGATGTAGGGATGGAAAATGAGGCTAAAGAAGTGTTACAGGTCTTAGAGGCCTAATGAAGAAATTTGGACTTCACCTTGTACATTATGTGGCAGTCTGCTTCAGTAAAGATTTACAGCCTTAGAAACCCTATGGGGCAGTTCTGCTTTGTCCTATAGGATCGCTATATAGAAAGGCATTTAAGAGCTTAAGAACAAGGTATATGTATTTGTATAATATCCATGTTGTTATAATTTATCGAGTATCCAAATTTAGAAATATCTAGAAAATCTAAAAATACTATTCCGTTAGCTTCTGTTGTTTATATTATCTAATGATAATAACTTAGTGGCTTAAAACAACTATTTATTTGCTCATAATTCTGTGGGTTGGCAAACTGGGCTGGGTTTAGTTGGGCCATTCTTCTGATTGTCACTCATCTGATGGTTGCAGTCATCTGATGGCTCAACTAGGGCTTAATGGCTTAAAATAGTCTTACTTATATGTCTGCTGTTTGGTGCTAGCTATCACATGGGTCATGTGCCTCAAACAGGTTAGCCTGGACTTCTTCTCATAGTGGCAGTGTTCCAAGAGAATAAGAGCATAAACTGGAAGGTCTTTTGAGGCAGAAATCACACAATGTCACTTCCACCACACTCTGTTGATCAAATAAGCTTACAAGGCCAGCCCTGATGGGAGGAGCTGCAAAGAATTTGTGGCCATTTTTAATCTATCACACTCTGGGATGATGTTAGCCTGAACCAAGGTGATGGATAGAGAGAAAATCCATTGCCATCGAGTCGATTCCAACCCATAGCAACCCTATAGGACAGAGTAGAACTGCCCCATACGGTTTCCAAGGAGCACCTGGTGGATTCAAACTGCCTACCTTTTGGTTAGCAGCCATATCTCTTAACCACTATGCCACCAGGGTTTCTGGGTAGAGATAAGTGGATATATTTCTATTTTTAAGATATTTAGGAGGCAGAATTTGAGAGAGCTTGGGGTTTGTTCTTGAACCTGGAAGAAGGGGGGAAGTTACAAATGACTCCTAGATCCTCAGCTTGAGTAACTGGTGAATGGTAGTGCCCAGCACTTAGAAAAGAGGAGGAGCAGAGAATGTTTCCATGTGAGTCATACCAAAGATGAGGTGTCTTTTAGACAGCCAGGTGGAGAATGGGCAGGAGGCAGATGACAGTACAGGTCTGGCTTGGGGAGAGGTCTGGTTAGAGATACCAGTTTGGGAGTCTGAAGGTACTTTAAGCCTAAAGCATGGTAGCATCTCCCAGGGAGGTTTCGTGCCGAGAAAAGGAGCATTTTGAGGGCAGGGATCTGGTGACTGAACTTTATATTAGCACAGTGCCTCGGGGCAAAGCAATCAGTCAATTCTGGTTTTCTGGGTTGTGACTGGGAGAAGGGATTAAGTCTGTAGCGAGAGCCCTAGCTCTGAACTAAAACCAGTATTGCAAGTGACATGGAGGCAGATCCCAGTTCCTGCCAGGAGGCAGCCTCCCATCAACATGCCACTGACTTAGAAGGTGATGAGGGCCTCATCACTGAGGGAGCATCAACTGGAGCTAGAGAAACTCCATTAGGAATTCTGTGGAGGGGATTCCCTCCCCAGGTTGGAAGAAAGACCTAATGGCCAGCACTGATAGTCTGTGAAGACAAACTTCCCTCGAAGCCCACGTGCCCACCATGGGGGGCCCAATTTTCAAAGTGCACAAGTCCTCATTGAAGGCAGTTCTGTTAGGAGCTCAGCACTGCAGGAGATACCTACTAGGGCACAGAAGAAATTTTGGCAGGATCCCTGCCATTGATTTTCTCATTCAACAAACATTCAACAAGCCCCTACTGTGTACCAAGCCCTGTGCCAGGAATACAGAGACTTCTAGACTCTAGTCTAGAAGCAGTATGATTGTAGCTGTAAAGAGTCCTTTATCTTGTAGCTGTTAGTTTCTGGAACTGTCTTCCCCATTGGATCTCAAGATTGAGAGTATTGAGATATCTCTTTGATATGGTGTCTGGCTGTGAAGGTTTGATGAATGAAAGAATGGAAGGAATTAGAGGAGCAAGGGACTGGGGAGGTGTCCAAAGGAGGGAGCTCTGGCTGGTGGCATCAGGGAAAACTCCAAAGAAATAAGGCAACTCCTCTATCCGGGCAGATAATAACTTAAAATGACATTTATTATGCGTTTTCTCCATGGCTGGCATATTGATTTCCACTTTTCTTGGATTATCTAGGCTCTTCCTAGAAAGTGAGGAGCCCTGGTTGTGCAGTGGTTAAGCATTTGGCTGCTAACCCAAAAGTTTGTAGCTCGAACCCATCAGGTGGTGCCCCAGAGAGAGATGTGGCAATCAGCTTCCGTAAAGATTTACAGCGTTGCGTCGGGGGGCTTAAAAGCTAGGGAGCAGCCATCTAAGGTGCATCAATTGGTCCCAACCTACCTGGAACGAAGGAGAATGAATACCACCAAAGACACAAGGAAAGTATTAGCCCAAGAGAGGGAAATGGTCACATAAACCAGAAACTTCATCAGCCTGAGGCTAGAAGAACTAGAGGTGCGCAGCTACTACCAATGACCGCCCTGACAGGGAACACAACAGGGAGTCCTCGACGGAGCAGGAGAAAAGTAGGGTGCAGAACTCAAATTCTAGTAAAAAGTCCAGACTTAATGGTCTGACTGAGACTGGAGGGACCCCGGAAGACATAGTCCCCGGACTCTCTGTTAGCCCAGAACTAAAACCATTCCCAACGCCAACTCTTCAGAACAAGATTAGATTGGACTATGGGACATAAAATGATACTCATCAAGAGTGTGCTTCTTAGCTCAAGTAGATATACATGAGACTAAATGGGCAGCTCCTGTCTGGAGGCAAGATGAGAAGGCAGAGAGGGTCAGGAGCCGGTTGAATGGACACGGGAAGCTCGGAGTGGAATGGAGGAGCCTGCTGTCACAGTATAGAGAGAGCAACTAGGGTCACATAACAATGTATGTATAAATTTTTGTATGAGAGAGGAACTTGAATTGTAAACTTTCACTTAAAGCACAATTAAAAAAATTAAAGATTTACAGCCTTGGAAACTCTATGGGACAGTTCTACTCTGCCCTACAGACTCGCTATGAGTTGGAATAGAGTTGACAACAATGGGTTTGGTTTTTGTTGTCGTTTGGTAGGAAGCAGCGGGGCCTTGAGCACATCCCTCCTCTTCCTTGGAACTTATCATCGCATTGTTACAGTAAGAAAGTGGGGCGGGGCGCTCTCGGCTCAGCCTGTCGAGCAGGCGGAACTGCGGTTTGGGGGCGGCTGGGGGCTCGGCCGGAGCATTTAGGCGGGCACTTCCGCCCTAGCAACGCGCGCCTGGTTGCTAGGGGCGGAGACGCGGGAGGCTGTGGAGCAAGTAGGCTGCGGAAGCCCGGGGGCTCGCCGCCCACGGCCGGCTTCAGCTCCCGGCAGGGCCTCCCCGGGTGGGTTTGGAGCCATATCCAGGAGGAAGGGACGCGGCGGGCGGCGGAGGGTTGAGAGTCCTTGCGCACTCCGGACTGCAGCCGCCCACCTGGCCGAAGCGGGGAGGGGGCTCTGAGGGCGGGACTTAGGGTCCCATCTTGGGGAAATCCCCCGTTTCCCCTTCCCCCATCAGAAATAAGCCTTGATCTCCACATAATGGCAGGGAGAGGCGCATTTGTGATCTGAAAAGCCAGAAAAGGAAAAACTGCACACAGGTTGTCCCCAAAACTTGGGGCAACCTTGGGCGTTCTGGCCTAGTACTGACTCCCTGTGTGATTGGGCAAGACCCTCTTATTCTCTGGGCCTCGGTTTCCTCTATCATTATGATTAGATAATATAAACAGTGGAAGATAACAGAATAGTATTTTCATTTCGTAGATTAGGATACTTGATAAATTGTAACATGGACATTATACAAGTACGCAGACCTTGTTCTTAAGCTCTTAAATGCCTTTCTATATAGCGATCCTATAGAACAAAGCCTAACTGCCCCATAGGGTTTCTAAGGCCGTAAATCTTTACTGAAGCAGACTGCCACATCTTTCTCCCCTAGAGCGGCTGGTGAGTTCGATTTGGTTAGCAGTCCAGCGCTTTAACCACTGCGCAGCCAGGGCACCTTGTTTATAACCTAGTTATATGAAATTCTTAGCCTTAGTATGATCAATGACTCTGGCCAGGGGACATAATTGGCTTCAGTTTAATATCCTCAAGACTTGTATATCCCTTTGTACATCTCATCTGTGCTCTTTTGGTATGTATGTTTGTAAGTATTATGAGTAATATTAATAACAATGAAATTACTGCTTCTGGTATTGCTATCACCATTAATCTAGCAATCATGCTAATAGCCATCATTTGTTATCAGCAGTTTGCCCAGTTGAACCAAGGGCTTTATAAGCAGTAGCTTTTGAAGAGATGTAGTATAATGTGCTGGTCAAGAGCAGGGCTTGGGGAGTCTGCCTGGATTCAGGATTCAGCTCTGCCAGTTATTTGCAGTGTAAACTTGGGCGAGTTATTTAAGCTCTCTGTGCCTCAGTTTTTGCATCTGTAAAATGAGGATAGGAACAATATCTATCTGTTGTTGAATAGATTAAATGAGTTAATAAATATAAGGTACTTAGAACAATTCTTTGTACATCTTAAGTGCTATTTTTGATCCTCAGAGAAGCCAGATGTTACAGTTATCCCATTTTGCACATAGGAAACTGACTTAGTACAGCAACTTGCCAAAGGCCACATGGATAATAAGAACTGTAATTCAGATCTGTTGTTGTTAGGTGCCCTTGAGTCCATTTCTGACTCACAGGGACGCCACACAAGGAGTCCTGATGGCACAGTGGTTGAGCTTTTGGCTACTAACCAAAAGGTCAGTGGTTGGAATTCACCAGCCACTCTTTGGGAGAAAGACGTGGCAGTCTGGTTCCGTGAAGATTTATAGCTTTGGAAACCCTATGGGGCAGTTTTACTCTGTCCTATAGGATCTCAATGAGTCGGAATCGATGGCAACAGGCTTGGTTTGTTTTTTTCTTTTAAACTTTAAGGGAGCAGATTGCCAAGTCTTTCTCCCCCTGGGTGGGTTCCAACCGCCAACCTTTTGGTTAGCAGCCGAGAACTTAACCATTTGCACCAACAGGATTCCTAATTCACACCTAAAACCATTGCTGTCGGGTCAATTCCAACTCATAGCGACCCTATAGGACAGAGTAGAACTGCTCCATAGGGTTTCCAAGGCTGTAATCTTTACAGAAGGAGCCCTGGTAGCACAGTGATTAAGGGGTCTTTAGGGAAGCGGATTGCCACATCTTTCTCCCGAAGAGCTGCTAGTAGTTTGAAACCTTTTGGTTAGCAGCCAAACCCTTAATCACTGTGCTACCAGGGCTCCTTCTGTAAAGATTACAGCCTTGGAAAGCCTATGGGGCAGTTCTACTCTGTCCTATAGGGTCAATGTGAGTTGGAATCTACTCAATGGGAACGGATTGGGTTATTTTGGAATCGTGGAAGCAGACTGCCTCATCTTTCTCCCATAGAACAGCTGGTAGGTTCCAACCGCTGACCTTCCGTCAATAGCCTAGCACTTTAACCACTGCGCTACCAGAGCTACTTACAATTCAGACCTGTTGTTGTTGTTAGGTGCCATCAAGTCAGTTCCGACTCACAGCGACAGTATGTACAACAGAACGAAACACTGCCCAGTCCTGCGCCATCCTCACAATTGACCATTGTTGCAGCCACTGTGTCAATCCATCTCATTGAGGGTCTTCCTCTTTTTCACTGACCCTCTACTTTACCAAGCATGATGTCCTTCTCCAGGGGACTGGTCCCTCCTGATAACATGTCCAAAATATGTGAGACAAGTTTTACCATCCTTGCTTCTAAGGAGCATTCTGGCTGTATGTCACTGTAAACCAATTTATTTATTTGAATCCTTAAAATAGAGTTGTTAAAATACAATAAAGATGTGTTTCTTCTTTGTAGATGTTTATAATGAAAATTCTGGACCAGAAGTCAAGACATCTACCTAGTTACAATTTTGCGTAAATAATGTTTCTGCCCTCATTCTCCAGATCTTTAAATAAAGGGTTTATATATGATTTTGAAAAGCTCCACCATCTCAAATTCTATAACTCATGCTTAATACAGTATTATTTTAAACAGGAGAAATTGCCTTTCTCATAAAACTATTAAGCAATCAGTTCTAGAGGATTTTTGATGAACAGAAGTTATATTTTATGATTCAAATAAAAATGTGTAATGATGTATTTAAATATATCCTATTTGCATATTTAAAAATAATTGTATAACATTATATTTTCCTAATTGTTGGAAATGTGAGAGTTATATAATCTTAGAATTTTGTAAGATATCTCTTTGTGAGGGAAAAATCACTCTTAATCTCTTTAATTAAACAGGGTCCTTGTTTACCTTACAAATCTTCTTTCTGTGCAAACATATGTTTAGACAGAGAAGAGATTAACTTGAGTGTCTTTTCACTAACTAGAGATTAGGAAGTGGCTGCCTGAACTACTTTGCAAAGGATAAACATTATAAATCTTTGAATACAGCAGCTCACCACGAAGATCCTATTGGTTTTGAGGTAAGTAACTCTAAAAGTTATCTTTTCCTTATAATGTTCGTGAATACTTTGCAGATGGGAAGTGTAGCACTCTGAAGGTATGAGCTAAGAATCCAATCAGTTTTAAGCAGAGCCATCCATTTATAGTATCTGCAGTTTCCAGTGACCTAGATCTATGGATGGAATCTGTCCTTAGTTTGATGACAATGTTGAAAAATGGATTAGGCTGGCAGATAGGAAGCCCTGCACTCTTTATTTATCTATAAGCAATACAACTTCTCAAACTTTTGAAAACTATCCTGGAATTGTTCCTGTTAGCATATCTTTGGCCTTTTATAGAGAATGCTAGAATGTCCTGGAAGGGACCTTGGATTCTCTACTTCACAACAAATATTTTTGGCACGCTGTGCAAACTACTTGAGGTACAAAGATGAATATGACAGAGTCCTTATTATTATTGAGCACATAGTCCACTAAAACTCATCTAGTCTAGTATCCTCATTTTATAAATGGGAAGCAGAGGCACTGAAGGATACACTTTGAGATAAAACAAAGCTGGAGCTAGAGCCCAGGGCTCCTGATGCAACACGCAGTGTTTTTTCCACTGCATTGTACTTCTGTACTGATTTCCTATTCTTATCAAGAGGACAATTCTGGCAGCTTCTCAAAATGTAGGCTAAAATTCTTCTGGAAAACTCTGTTTTTAAATAGTAATGGTATGAATGAGAATGACTTATTTAGTCCTAGCTGCAATATTCCCTGTAGACAGTTCTTCCCAGAACTGAGATGGGGACTGGGCACTCCCACCTCACCAATTGGTCCCTCAGCCTCTGGCATCTCAGGGGCTAACTAGTTGCAGAGGACACATGATATGAAGTAGCCCAGGTTAGCCTGTAGCTAGATACCTTAGTACCAGCAGATGTGCACGCTGGCCACATTTTCCAGTTTCTCTTTTTTCTGTTACCAGCAACGAGCACAAGACCTGCACAAATTAGGTGCATAGGAGGTGTTTACTGAATTAAGGAAAGGATGAGCATCTTGGAATGAATAACTCATTTTCTTTTTTTTGTTGGTCTAGCCTTGCAGTTGTTGGGAGACTGATCCAAGTAAATCTGGAAAACATTTACTGTAATAACTTTCTTTATTCTAATATCTTATGTCATCTACTTTTGATGTTATTTAATTTCTAGATCAGTAGTTCTCAAACTTTTTGGCCTGCTTTTCACTTTTAAAAATTACTGTGCACCCCACAGAACTTTTGTTTATGTAAATTATAGATTGTATTCAAATTCCTGCTATGCCACTTCCTACTGATGTTAAAACTGAGAAAAATTTTTTAAAATTTATTTATTTATTTAAAAATAACAGTAAACTCACTGCATGTTAACATGGACAACATGCTTTTTTTTTTTTTATTTTATTGTACTTCAGGTGAAGGCTTACAGAACAAATAGTTTCTCATGAAACAGTAGTACACATGTTGTTTTATGACATTGGTTAACAACCCCACAACATATTAACCCTCTAAATTCTCAACCTTTTTTTTTTTTTGGTGAAAATACACATAGCCAAAGATACACCGTTTCAAAAATTTCTACATACACAGTTCAGTGACATTGACTATGCTCTTCCAATTGTGCTGTTATTCTCACTTAAGATGAAGGCTTGCAGAACAAAATAGTTTCTCATTTAACAGGATAACATGCTTTTTATGAAAAACAACTATATTTTCCAAATCAAAAAAATTTTGTTGGGAAGAGTGGTACTGTTTTACATTTTTTACAAATCTCCTTAATGTCTGGCTTAAACAGAGGACGGTTGGAATCTCATATCTGCTTTTGTATTCAATCAGTTGCAATATGTTGCTAGGGTTGAAGTATAAGATGAAATCCGACCTCACACAGATATGTAGTTGGAAAAGGGGGACCTCATAGACCCTCTGAAAGGGTCTCAGGAACCCCCGGCAGTCCTCAGATCACACTTTGGGAACTGTTGGTCTAGGTCATTACCTATATTGTCTCATTTAGTGTCATTATCTTTAGCATCTCGTTCTTATTACAGAATAACTTCATAATCCTGGTACACTGATTTGGAGAAGTGTCACAGCAAAATTATTTAAAAACAGTCCATTAAGCTAGGAAGGTTATAACATTTTAAAATAACTAAGGCTCTTCTTTATCAAGAAACTTCACTAGTGTAAATTATTTCCAATTACAGTACTCTTTCTATTTTTAAAATTAGTTTTCTTCTTTTGTTTTTGTTCTTAATCTGCTAAAGCTTTATTGGAGGGTACAATACTAGGGCTGTAACAGTGAGGCAGGGAAAGGCACAAAAGAAAATCCATACAGTTGATTTGTCTTTTAAAAAAATAATTTATTTATTTTTATTTTATTGTGACTGTCTAAGAGTAAAACGTGTATTCTGTTAAAGTGAAAGCAAAGAGATTTATTGAAGGTTCAGAACAATTTGAACCAGGGACACGGTCTGATTTCACAAAGTGAAAATCAAATGCTCTGAGGTGGTGAGGTTACAAAGACATATTTATATCCTTAATTCAGGAACTAACAATGCAGAATTTCTGATTGGTGCTCAGTGATGTAAGGAGGCAGGATGCGGGATAACCCTAAGCAAGGAATTGATAGGGATTGGTTCAAAGTGTATACGCGGGCTTCTTAGGTTGGGTATTTCACATAATTGCAGAAGTTCATGACTGAAGGGGGGATTTACAGAGGGTCATAAAACAATCATGGGTCATTCCTTTTTGAGAAAGTTTTGCTAAGATAGCATCCTTAGCAAACCCTCCCTAAGAGTTGCTTCTGCAGGCGATTTCTGATAAGGGGTTTGTGTCAAGACCGTCTCTTTAAAAACAATGTTTCCACATCCTTAGCTTAACCACAGGGAAAAACATTTTCTTAGTTGCAAAATTAAGTCTGCTCAAGGTTCACAGCTGCTAGGAAAAAAGCAGAAATTTAAAATAGAGTCTAAGCTCAGACCCAAGTTGGCCGTTTTACTTTAGTCAAACACCTCCATTTTGGAACTCTTATTCATATGTATAACAAAACACTGCCTTTTCAAAGTTCTATGTGTACAATTCAGTTACATTAATTACTGAAAGGATTTTTATTTTTTAAATTGTAAAACTATACATAACATTTGCCAATTTAACATTTTCACGTGTACCATTTAGTGACATCAGTCGTTGTACAACCATCAACAATATCTGTTGCCAAATTTTCCATCACCATAAACAGAAAATCAGTGCGTCCTAAACCATGACTTCCCCCCGCCCCCTCCACCCCTGGTAACCATTAATAAACTTCAGTCTCTCTATATTTGCCTATTCTGGATATCTCATATGAGTGAGAGCATACACTATTTGTCCTTTTGTGATTGACTTACTTCACTCAGCATAATGTTTTCAAGGTTCTTCCATGTGGTAGCATGTATCAGGATTTCATTTCTCTTTATGTCTGAGTAATGTTCAGTTGTATCTATATACCACACTTCGTCTATCCAGTCATTTACTGATGGACATTGAGGTGGTTTCCACCTAAAAGGATTTATTCTTAACATAGTCATTGTACCATTATTGTGCCTAACAAAATTAACAGTGTGCATTCTTCTTTCTACTAAATAGGGACCACAGCTTCCAGCAGCCACAAGGGATGCTGCCACTCAGGTGCCAGCTGAAACAAGCTCCTCCTCGGAAGGCTTTGTGTAGGTTTTGGGCTGTGATGGGGAAACTGCAAAGCAAACTCAAACACAGCACTTATAAATACAGGTACAGCAATCCTACCCTGGGGTCCCAAGCCTTATCACTCCCCGCTAAAACTCTCCAGTAAGGAAAGAGAAGGCCCAAAGTAAGTGCCGATGACCTTCCCTGAACAGTCAGTTTGGTCTGTTGTCTGTTGATCCAAAACAGTCTGCTTATTAGCTAGTGTCTGCACCCACACAGGGAGGGGCCCTACATCTTTGGGAATAATCTCTAGTGTGAGTAAAACTGTTGACTTCTTACCTTCAGGATTCCTCTTTATTAGATTCCAAACATTCAGTCGTTCTGAGCATTTTCAGAGTAGGTATATCCATTGTTGGCAATGTCAATGGGTCTTCTTTTTCTGCTCTTTTCCCATCTGAACCTTAGCCCACACTCTTCTTCCTCTTCCACTCCCCCCATACCATCAGGCCTCTCATTTTCCATCTTCTCTTTAGCAGGCCTGACGAAGTTATAGAAGAGAGGATTCAAACTAAAACCTTTCAAGAGTATAGCCCCGCCCATGTGGATACCGTCTCTGCTGTTGCTGCTCTGAACTCAGAACTTTGTGTCTCCGGAGGAAAAGATAAGGTGGAGTTTGCAGTGCTTCCCTGGGAACCAACTTATCACAGGGAAAGGAAGCTGTTTTGTAAGGAAGTCCATGTGTAAAAATGGCATGGTGGTGGCATCTGACCTCCCCTAACTTCACAGGGGGAAGGAGAATCAAGATCAACAGCCCAAGGCTGATTCCTATGAGGTGGAAGTCAGACATGCTTCCTCTCTCCTCCATCTTTATCAATTCTGACACCAACCGTCCTTCCCACAGCACTATCTACTCCTCTGTGTGGTCGTAATGGCCACACAGAACTCACAGACCATACTAACAGTTATGGGGTTTATGAGGGAAGGAACAGGTAACAGTTCAGGTTCAGGAACCCTCAGGATACAGTTCTTCAATCAGGACAGCCTCTTCTCAGCAATGCAGGCAGGCAGGTCTCTCTCTGGCTGTTGACTCCTCAGCCTGGCCTCTGCCCTGTTTGGTCAAGTTTTACAAAGCTCTTTTAGCTCTGCTGCTAAGTGCCCTGAGGCACCCCACTCCACCCATAAGGCTCAGCCTGAAGGCGTTCAGCTCTAGCTCTGTAGGTCAACAAACCTAGCTCCACCAAGTGCCTGGAGGCACCCTTCTCTGCCAGCAAGCCTCCTGCCCAAAGGCACCCAGCTTTCTTGATCCTTGGGCCAGGAAGCCCAATGCGCCATCTCCTGCCGGTCTCCTGGTTCAGCTGCTTCTGCTGCTGCCATTTCTCTGCCATTTCTTCTCACTGTCTTGCCATCTTCTGTGTTACCGCTCTCTCTGTCTTGTGGCTCTAGGAGGGTCTCAGTGCAGGAATCCCAGGTCCAAAGGAAGGACTCTGCTCCCACCTCTTCTTCTTGGTGGTGGTAAGAGCCTCTCCTCCTGCCTCTGGGATGGCTCATTTTAAGCCTAGTCAGATGGCAAACTGACCAATCCCTTTGTTAGGGTTCCATATACCTTATTTGCATAGTCCCACTCAATCATTATGTGTGAGTCACAAAGACTATGACTAGAAGGGCCATATTAAGTAATTCATTGCACCACACCATGTTATGCATTTCTGGCAGCAGTGTTGATTAGCATAAGACTATGGACTTTCGAGTTAGACTGGGTTTCAATCCCTGACCTGCCACTTCCATTACTTTGGGAAAGTTTTTTAATTTTTTTGCGCTTCAGTCTCCTTATCTGTTATATGGGGATAAGAATACCAACCTTACAGGACAGTTGGAAATGACAGAACATAGGTAAGAACCTTAGCACTGTGCTAGGCCACCCACATGCTTTTTATAAATGACAAGTATTATTATTCTGGCTGTCTTAGTTATCTAGTGCTGCTATAACAGAAACACCACAAGTGGATGGTTTTAACAAACAGAAGTTTATTTCCTTACAGTAAAGTAGGCTAAAAGTCCAAATTCAGGGTGTCAGCTCCAGGCGAAGGCTCTGTCTCTGTCTCGGCCTTCTCATCAGTGTTCCCCTGGACTAGGAGCTTCTCGGCGCAGGGACCCTGGTCCAAAGGACGTGCTCTGCTCCCGGCACTGCTTTCTTGATGGTATGAGGTCCCCCTGTCTCACTGCTCACTTCTGTCTTTTATATCTCAAGAGATTGCCTCAGGACACAATCCAGTCTTGTAAATTGAGTCCTCCCTTACTAATACAACTGCCACCTATCCTCCCTCATTAACATCATAGAAGCAGGATTTACAACAGATAGGAAAATCACGCAGTACCAGGAATCATCGCCCAGCCAAATTGACACACACATTTTTGGGGGGACATAATTCAATCCATGACACTGGTTAACGCACTTTTACACCTACCTGAAGACACAGGAGCTGTATGTCAGTGAGAGGTGCCTCTTTATCTCATCTTTATGCCATTCCTTTGCTAAAACCTTTACACTGGAGTGTATTGTGATTCTTCCCTTCTATCTTTTGTCCTCCCTCCCATTGTCACTTTGAATCTGGTCACTTTCTCTCGCTCATATTTGGATCTATCATGGTGCTTACAGCTAGGATATTGGTAGCAAAAAGGCTGATTCTTCTTACAGTGAATAATAATAGTTCCTCTCATTTTCAGTAGACTTTTAGAATCTTCAAATTCCACTTGCATATTCATTGTATTTCATTGATTCTAAGATGCACATCTTTTCACATTTTAACACCTCTGAAATCAAGATGCATCTAAAAATTGATGTTAAAGCATGCAACATTTTAATTTGCATTTAATTTGCAACATTTTTGTCTTAAAATCTATGATGTATGAAATTTTGTTTATATGATCTTTACTCACATCTGTGAGGGGTAGATAGGGCAAAGATTATCCTCTCCATATTGCAGTTAGGAAACTGGAGTTCAGCTAGGTCAAGTGCTAACAAGGACCAGCTTCACTAAGACACATGCTCCTTACTCTTCAGCAATGAAGCAATGAACTACAGAGGCTAGGTTAAAGCAAAGGAGCCCTGGTGGTGCAGTGGTTAAGCGCTCAGCTCTAAAAGGTCAGCTGTGTAAACCCACCAGCTGCTCTGTGGGAGAAAGTTACGACGTTCTGCTCCCATAAAGATTAAACTCATTGCTGTCGAGTCGATTCTGACTCACAGAGACCTGGAAACCCTATAGGGCAGTTCTACTCTGTCCTATAGGGTTGGAGTCGACTCAACAGCAATAGTATCCAGAGCAATGTTTTTAAAATCCGATTGAGGAGAAGAAATGCTTACAATAAAACATTAAGTGGAAAAAAAAAGGATATCTCAACTTTAAACGAAAGTATATACCTGGAAAAAAGCTAGGAAATTGAAATTTTCAACAATTATTCTTTCTGGCTGTTGGGACTATGAATGAGGTTTTTTTTTAATTTAAAAAAGAAATATAATACGTTTAGGGGTAAAAAAATCTAATCCCATATAGAATTTTCCCTTAGTGTCTATTACCAGAACCTCAACTTGAATCAATTCTTTGTGGAGAGTATTATCCCAAACCCATCAGTTAGGCGTAGAGGAGTGGCCCAGGGTCTTGGGGAGAGACAGAGCAACCGTCAAGAGTAAAGAAAAGAAACTCAGAGGAGGGGAACATGAGGAAGCACAGAACAATAAAACCCTAATGCTCAAAGGTGACAGAGGGGGCATTAGTTACAAAGGAAAAATTAAGGTGGGGAATGAAATAAAGTCTTGTTGTCTTTGAGTGGTTGAACTGAAATATTCTAATGACTCTCTGCAGACAGTTGTGGCCTATAATTGGAAAACTGGAAATGTGGTGAAAAGGTTCAAAGGACATGAACGTGAAATCACGAAGGTAATTGTCAAACAGTTATTATTATGGAGGAGTTTGGAACTGAATAAAGGCATATCAAATAGCTCTAGCTATTAAGAGAGGTGAATGTCCAGTCTTAAGGAAAAATACAAAGGCTTCATTTCATGTTGTAAAGCCCCACTCCAGGAAAAGAAAAGTAAACCACTCACTTAGCTGTTTATACAGGTATGTTGGACTCTTTTTTTTTTTTTTTTAATTAATCCCTTATTAGCTTAGGTGGTAAATAGAGAACAGCTGAATAGAGAATTTGCTCTCTTTGACCTATCCCGACTTAACAAGTGACATGTATTGAAGGCTTACTGTGTGTAGAAAAGAATGTAGCTAGAAGAATGACAAAATCCCTGTGCTCAGGGACCTTCTAGTCTACTTGTGGGGGGAGAAAAGCCAACAAGAGTTAACTAATTTGTTAAATGACACTACAGAGTAGTGTGAACTTCCAGCAAAAGTTATAGAGAATGCCAGTTTAACTCCCCGTTCAGAAATCCACCTAAATGAACAAAAAGTTAAGATACAAACTCCATCTATAATGAAACTAGGCACCAGCCACAATCCCATAACACAGAATATAATAAGTACATGCCAGATACATTGCATTTTGAACCAGACTGAGAGAACACCAGGCTCTAATGCACATCTACCCAGGTGTTTGGCAGAGTGCAGATTTCGCTAGAACAGAACTAGTCCTGAACACCCCTCCCAACAGTCCTTTCTTTAAAAAGATGAGGACTAAAGATATAGGACAGTTACCTATAAAACAAGACAATGTAACAAAATTGAGGCTGCCCCCAGCTCACGCCTGTTTCTCCTGGCCATCCCAAAGAGCTGAAGGTCTAAACAGAAATAATCAACCATCAATATTCAGCACTATAACTCAAGTTGTGGTAGCCTCTGGGCTAACAGGAAGGAGAGTGAAGAAGAATTTATCTTCTTTATAACATATATATATTATTCTTGGGCAGATGCAAGTACAATAGGACTTGCCCTCATTCAAAGATGAAAATATGAATGATTAGTAGAAAGTATCCAATGTAACACCTATATGGTTAGATACATTTTTCAAAAAAGATACACACTCATGTATATTTTCACCACAATAAAAAAGAGAAAAAAAGGATACACAGGTAACAAGATAAAGACAGAAGAAAATACACTTTAAAGGAAGAATTACTCAAGAAAAAAAAATATTTTGATTAGAGTTTTCTGTGTTCTATAAATTAAGAAAACATGTACCCTATGAAACAAAAATTCATAAAAGTAAGTGTGATGGTTAATGTTGTGTGTCTGCTTGGCTAGGCCACGATTCTCAGTATTATGTAATTATCCTCCATTTTGTGATCTGATACAATGGGAGTTTCCTTGAGTGTGTGGCCTGCATCCAGTATATATGGATGTTCTGGCAAATCTCTCTCTCAATCCTGTATCCAAATGATCATCATCTGACCTCTGATTCTTGGGACATGAGCCAGCAGCCTGCCGCCTGACCTGCAGATTTGGGGATTCACCAGCTCCCACAGCCCTGTGAGCCAGGAGCCTACTGTTTGACCTGCCATTTTTGGGTTCGTCAGCCCCTGCAACCACGTAAATCAGGAGAAGCCTCCAGCCTGATGCCTGACCCGCAGATTTGGGACTTGCCAGTCTCCATAACTGTGTGAGCCATTTCCTTGAAATAAACCTCTCTCTGTATATACTTACATATATATATACACTTCACTGGTTTTGTTCCTCTAGAGAATCCAGCTCAAGACAGTAAGGTAATAGAAGAATTATCTGGAAGAGAGAAGAAAATTTGAGGAAAAAATGCTGTTAACAATTAAAATTACATTAAAAATAGCAAGATGTAAAATCATTATGCTGAGAACAGAATTGGTAACATGCAGGGCAGGCTAATCATATGAATGAAGTTGAAAATAGCAAGGAGATAAAAATGATCGGCACAAAGATGATAGACAGGGAATACAGAAAATGTACCCCATAACTTGGTGTTTCTAAAAAAGAATAAAACAAATTAAGCAAAAAAAAAATTTAAAGATAAAATAGAAACAAATATTACTTAAAGGAAAACTTGAAAACTTGTAACATAAAAGAGCTCAAGGAGCTAATTGAGGACCAGGAAAGTTAAGTTATCAATACTGATACATATCCAGAGGAAGTTACTAAACTTCAAGAATAAAAAGAGAATTTTAAAAGCATCCTGGCAGAAGAGGAATGTCACTAAAATGTAAAAGAAAAATTAGTTTGGCTTCAAATTTCTTCTCAGCAGCACGAGATGCCATAGGACAGTGGAGCAATGTCTGCAAAATGACAAGAAAAAGAATGTATTCCAAAAATCCTTTATGCAGTCAGAGTGTCATTCTTAACGGAAAGGAAATAGACATTCTTAGGTAAAAACTAAATCCAACTGTACATTGTTTAAAAGAGACCTATCTAATGCAAAGCAACTTAAAGATTTAAAATGAAAAGTTGAACAAATATATATCAGACAAGTGCAAACAGAAAGCAGGAGTTGTGATATTAATATCAAACTAAAAGCATTCGAAGTAAAAATCATTGAATGGGACAAAAAGACTCACTTTAAATTGATCAAGAGTACAACAGAATCACCTGTTGTAGGAGTATTTAGCCCTGATGATTTCAAAGGAAATTCTTTAAATTGCAAAAAGTGATAACTCTGATGCCATTTAAACTGTTCCAGGGTATAGAAAAAAAGGGGATCTCAATTTTTTTATAAAGTCGGTATAAAATTGGTAGCAAAATGTGACAAAGCATGTAATGAAAACTACAGACTTATGAATACCTATATCAGGTGGAATTAGATGTGGCTTCAGACAACAGAAAGCCCAAATAACAGTGGCTTAAACAAGTAGAAAGTTGGTGTGGTGGTTCCATGGTTATGAGGGAGCCAGGGTCTTTCTGTCTTTCTCATCTGGCATCACTAGTGCTCAGCTTCCTTCTTCAAAGTCACCTCATAGTCACAAGATGGCTGCTGCAGCTCCAGTCATATCCGATCTCAAGATAGCAGAAAGGAAGAAGGGGCAAGAGCAAAATGTTGTACCTTCCAACTTAAGTGATACTTAAGTTTCCTATAAGTATCACTTTTCTTACATCTCATTGACCACCTCTGTCTTCGGGGGGCTGGAACATTTCATTTTATAGCTGAACGCATTGCCAACACATGGATAATGGGTGCACTACTTGCAGTCTGCTTCAGTATATATTGTTACAAAAATTGTAAATGAAATATTAGCAAAAAGAATCTAACTTTTTGCTAAAAGAATAGCATACCATGACTAACTGAGCTTCGTTCTAGGAATGCAGAAATAGCTCAATATTAGGAAATTGGTAAATGTAATTTTCTATATTAATTGGTCAAAGGGAGGAAATCATGATCATTTCAGTAGATCGAAAGATCCAGCATCTATTTCTGCTAAAGTAGAAATAAATGGATCTTTGTATGATTAAAAATAAATATAAAAAAGAATATCTCTTTAAAAACAACATACAATAAATAACATTACAGCATAATGTAAGAGATTATATACGATAGTTATGTTAATAAGACAAAGTATGTGACACTTGGAGAAGGACTTCATACTTGGTAAGGTAGAGAGTCAGTGAAAAAGAGGAAGATCCTCAATGAAATGGGTTGACACAGTGGCTGCAATGGTGGGCTCAAACACAGCAATGATTGTGAGGATGGCGCAGGACTGGCAGTGTTTCATTCTGTTGTTCGTAGGGTCACTATGAGTTGGAATCGACTTGATGGCACCTAACAACAACATGTGAGACTATAATACTGTGCCAATTTTGGGTGTGATTATGATAAAGTGCCAAAAGTGGGGAGGAGTGTCACACAAACAGGAAATTTTATAGGAGACCACAGAGGGGAGAGATTCCTTTGGAGGTAAGGTGATCTGAGGAGGCTTTATGGAGGAGGTGAAATTTTAACCTTGCCTCAAAGTTGTTGTCATTGAGTCTGTTCCAACTCATGGTGACTCCATGTATGCAGAGTAGAACTGCTCCATAGGATTTTCAAGGCCGTGACCTGTTGGAAGCAGATCACCACCCCCGTCTTCCAAGGTGCCTCTGGGTGGGTTTGAACTGCCAATCTTTGAGTTAGTAGTCCAGCGTTTAACCATTTGTACCACCCAGGGACTCCTTACCTTGAAGGGCAGGGAAGAGTTCTGTTATGTAAAGCGTAGCTTAACATTGAGATAGGTGGAAATTGAACTTGACCTTGTTATCTTTTCAAATTTAGGTATTACTTTTTTAAAAACTCTATGTGGGAGAGAGTTATGCAACCCATCTTTTTCCTGTCTTAATGTCCAGTCAAGTATAAACACCAGAGCTCTTTCTTTGGGATTTTTCCCTGAGCAGGTAGCCTGTATTCACAAATCAAACCAGTTCTTCAGCGCCTCTCGTGACAGAATGGTCATGATGTGGGACTTACATGGTTCCTCACAACCAAGGCAGCAGTTCTCAGGCCATGCCATGGTGGTTACTGGATTGGCTGTGAGTCCAGGTAAAGTAACGCAAATTTTTCCTCAACACCTTGTACTTTCTGAAAAGCCCTATTCAAGCCCCATCTCATGGACTGTCTTCTCCCATTGTCTCCAAAGACTCCATACAGCTGTGCACTGGCTCTCGGGACAACACCCTGCTTCTGTGGGACGTGGGAACTGGACAGTGTGTGGAGAAAGCTTCTGTCTCCAGAAACCTGGTACGAACTCAAACTTGGTACAGAGCAGGGCAGCAGGAAGGAGCATGGGGTGGGGAAAGGAGCTGGGAGAGAGATCAGGATACCCGCAGCCAGGGAGTAGAGGCTTGGATTCTAATTCCTACTCACCCCTAACTCTCTGTGGGACCCTGGTCTCCTGGGGTTATTGGATCAAATGAACTGTTTAGGTCTTCTGCTCCAGAGAACAATTCCATTAGTTTACACTGGATTTTAAAAGGGTCTTTTCATTCATTCCTTCAAAATATAGTCATTGCATTTTTTCTATGGGCCAGACACTGTGCTAGAAGCAGGGTTAGTGATCCAGGACACTGTCCCTGGCTCACGGCTATGCATATTTTGTGTTCTGTACATGTAACATCATACAGAGAAATAAGCATTGCCTTTTGCTTTTATGTATAATTTGTTCTGCTTGTGAAGAGCAGTCACATTCTAGTAGTGGACTAGTATATAAACTAGGCAGCCTTTGGGGTCAGACATACCTGGGTTCAAAAGTTACTTTAACTCTTAGAGTTTTAGTATCTTCGTAAGGTTCTTCAGAGGATAACATGAGACAATGTATGTGAAACACTTGTCGTTATGTCTGACTTATGGTAAATGTTCCTTTAGTAGTCATCAACTTCAATTATGTTCATCTTTTCTAATTTGAAAGACAACTGGCAATAGCCAAATATGCTTGCCCTATGCCCTCCATATTTGTGGAGGTTGTAAGGAAAGAGAATCCTGTCGTCACCTTGGTTGTTTTTGAAAATGGTTTCATGCCTTGTCCAGCAGAGGGCTGCAGGTTCAGGATAAGCTCCTCTGGAACCTGATGAGGCCTTAGTGTTTCATTGGTCTCACTTCAGGGCAGTGCTCTCTTGAGCTGCCACAGGCTAGCTAGCAGTTCTCTACCATGTGGCAGGGGTTTCAGGCACTCTAAGGATGCCTGCATGCATTTTGGCATTCACAGCTGACCCAGCTGCTACTGTTGCTGCTGATAGCCTAGGCAATACAGGTAGACCATGACTGGTAGGCATCTGCAAAGCATAAAACCCCTGGTGGTGCAGTGGTTAAAGCAGTCGGCTGCTAACAGAAAAGTCATTGGTTTGAAATCACCAGCAGCAACATGGGAGAAAGATGTGGCAGTCTTCTTCCATGGAGATTTACAGACTTGGAAACCCTATGGGGTCGCTATGAGTCAGAATTGATTCGACGGTAGTGGGTGGGTAAAAAGTCAAATTTACTAGTTCAGAGTCCTTGAGATGTTGAGGTGGTATTTGGCACAGTTTATAGGAATTACATACAGAAATTATATGACTTGATATGAACACTTTTGAAAAAGCTCGTTTCTTCCAGGTCACTCACCTATGCTGGGTCCCCAGGGAACCATATATCCTACAGACCTCTGAAGATAAAACCGTCAGGTAGGTTTACTGGGCAGCAGTGACAGTGTTTCTGGTGAAGGTGTGTGGCTCCCATGCTTATGAGCTCCATTCTCACTCTGCTTCTAGACATTGCTGGGCCCTTCACAGAGCCTTCTGCCCCTCTACCCCTCTCTGGTGCTGGGGCGTTTCTGATCTGGACCCATGGATCGTCTGGGAAGAAGCTGGAAGCTAAGAGGACAGGGGAAAGTCCCTGTTCTTGGTGGTTTCAAAGCAGCTGATTCTAGCAGCCCCCACTGTGTGACTGTTCAGATTAACCTCAGGATTGGTCACGTGCTCAGGTCAAGCTGCCTGACTCTACTTGCTACCCCTCCTCAGAGGCCGCTAGTCTGGTTTTCAGTCACTCAGCCCTCAGGTGAAGCCCTTCCTGGGGAAGCAGGGTCAGAAACAGCATCAGGGGAGTCAAGTGAAGTAAATAGTCCTTCGACTACAGAGCACGACTAGGAACTTTGGATCTCAGAAGAGACTCGACTTAGAAAGTGGTAGGAATGAGACAGATAAAAATGAGAGAGATAAAACAAAACACTTTCCAGTGGATCCCTCACCAGTTGTCCAAGGCCTGTAAATCTTTTGTATCTGATTCCAGACCGATGAGTAGGTCCTCTGTATCTTAATAAATCTCTTTTTTTTTTTCCATCTGTTGAAAGCAGTGTCCTGAAGGACCAAATTAACAAATTAACTTGCACAATTAAGATACTTGGTCTACATTCCTATTAACTAGATCTCAAAATAGAAAGAACTCAGATGTCGTTCAGTCTGGTTACTTCCTGCCAGCTTTGGGATCTCATATTGATCTGGTTCATGTTGCTGTTTTTAGGTAAATCATGACATTCCATTCTGACTGGCCTAAGCAAGAAAGAGCCAAGATGTTTATGTTAGTGGGCTGTCTATTCAGACACATTGACAACAAAATCCTTTGCTGCTGTAATATCTTTCAGATTATGGGACAGTCGGGGACTGCATGTAGCTCATGTGTTTCCTGCAAAACAGCACATTCAGACCTACTGTGAGGTCGGTGAGGATGGACACAAGTTTATCTCCTGCAGCAGTGGCTTTGGAGGGGAAGGCTGTGAAGCCACGGTAAGAGATTGTGTGGGATCCAGGTATCTGGTTGCTGATGAGCAAATCACTTACTCTGGCCTCATGCCAATAGCTGAGCTACACAGGCAGGCTCTGCTAATGGCTCAGGCGTATTCCAAGTATATACTGTAAGTTATCCTTTGTGTTCCAGATGCTTCTTTTAGCAGAGCTTCGAACCAGTTTGTTCTGGTTCAAACCCCTGCTGAGAATTTGTATTTCTAATAAGTTCCCTGCTGAGAATTTGCATTTCTATACATAAGAATCACCTTCTTATGTAGATTCTAATTCAGTATATCTGGGGTGGAAATGCAAACTGGTTCAAAGCCCTGTCTTTTAGAGAAACATCTGTTAGCCTAATCCTCTCTGAACTGGTGGTAGAAAAGATGTCATGAGAGTCAAGATAGGAGAAGCTAAACATAAAACTAGTCTGCTGCCGCCCCTACTCCCTGAAGAGCCTGGAAAGAGAAGGGGCTGTTTGAAGAACCAAATGTATTCCCACTGTACATGTATTCCATGTACATGTGGTTACAGTAAAGGAAGTTCAAGCTCTTCAGGAAGTTTTAGAGCTTCAGCGCCGGTCCAGGGTCTATCCCATTCCTTACCCAAATACCTTCCTTGCATTTAATTTTGAGATAGATTGCCTAGGCTCCTTCAAAGTACCTTAGATTCCTAACTGTAGAATATCAGTTACATATCCAAATAGAATATAATTCCCGTTTATAGAACATTTATTGTGTGGCAGGCACTGAGCTAAACACTTTACGTGCATTATCTCATTTAATCCTTAATACTACTCTGTGAGTTAGTTACTATTGTAATTCCCATTTTATAGATGAGGAAATAGAGGCATGGCAAGTTAAAATTTCTTGCCCAAGACTACAACCATAGTAAGTAATAGACCATGGAGTTGAATCCTCAGGCTGCTGATGTAGCTTCTCTTCTCCAAGCTAAGCATTTCCAGTTCCTACAGCTGTTCCTTGGATGACATAGTTTCCTGTGACTTCATTATTTCTTGGACACAATTCAGTTTGCTCTTCTCCTTGAACATTATTCTTCAGGCGTGGTCTGATCTGTATCAACAAGAGTGGGATTGGAGGGACTATCCCCTCTCTTGTTGTAGACACTTGTCTTCATGTATCAAGGCTCAGCATCTAGGCATTAAATCAGAATGTGTATACTTGAATGTACTTATGAGAAGGTGCTCCTAACTATTAGGTCCCCATAGGACCCACAGATGCCAAGAAGCTGATATAAGACAGCAGTTGAGCTGTCATGAAAAGCAGACAACCCCATACCGTCCCATCATGCTGTAGGACTTGAACTTTCACTTCCCTAACCATGAGGAAGATAGCAACTCTTCTGTCACATCCTTAACCAGGGCTGTTGGGGACATAGTTGATAATATCATTGGATGGATGTAGATAAGGGGTAGCTAGATAAATAGGTAAGTGGAGGGAATGGTGGATTGTGGGAAGGTGGAGAGATTAATATTAATGAAAATGAAACAAGTGTGAAGCTAGAGGAATATGTATTTTTGAACTGCTCCGTGCCGTTTCTTTGCAGTTGTGGGACCTAAGGCAGACGCGCAACAGAATATGTGAATATATGGGGCATTTCCAGACAGTTGCATCCTGTGTCTTTCTACCAAAAGCATTGGCCTCAGTGCCTGTAATTGCTACCTCATCACATGACTGCAAGGTGAAGATTTGGAATCAAGATACTGGAGGTAAGGAGCCTGTGGTCAGTGCTTCTCAGATGATACATGAAGTCATAAAAAAAACCCAAAAAAACCCGTTCAAGTCAATTCCAACTCATAGTGACCCTACAGGACAGAGTAGAACCCCATACGGTTTCCAAGGAGCGGCTGGTGGATTCGAACTGCCAACCTTTTGGTTAGCAGCCGCTTAACCACTGTGCAGCCAGGGCTCCTGAACTCCTAAAGACTTCCTTAAAACTTTCTTTCTATTGCTTAGCATATACAAAGCCATCCATGTCCTGCCACCATCCAGTCCTCTAGTGGTTAAGGGATGACACCAAATGCCAGAATCTCTCTGGTCAACCCCTGACTAGAAGCCATCACCATATATCCCCCGGTACCATGCTGTATAGACTCATTCGTGAGAGCTCAAACATTCCTCCAACCTGAAATTCCTTATGCAGCTTTAACTTATGATGCTCAAAATGTCTGGAAAAGAGGACAAGAATTACCACTTTTGAATTCATTTTTCAAGGACTAAAATGCAAGCCTCAGCTCTTGGCAGGGGTGAGGTGGAGTAAGGATAGTCTCAGAGGGACTCTTTCCTGTTGTGACTCTGAAATTAAGGTCAAAGATCACAGTAAGGTCGTGACACTCAAAGCACCAGAGAAAAAAGATGTTTTATGGAACACAGCTCCCTAGAGCCTTGATGCAGTGGCATCCTGGAGCTGGCTCCTCTCCGCCAATTGTTAAATATTCAGGAATTTTGTATGCTAGTGTTTAAATTATTAGTAGCTTCAAATCTGGTCGTGGTGGAAGTATTTACACTATGCAAATTGGCAAATGCTACAAATCAGAGCTTATTTGTTTGTTTTCCTTCCAGAATGCTGCTTTCCCAGCACCCCTACTGCCTCCATGCTATTTTGTTCTGACCACAGAATTTCACCAGAGACAGGACTAGCATAGCTAGAGGACTTCAAACCAAATCCCTCCCACATCAATCTTCCAGAAACTCAGCTCCCAGCAGGGGTAGATAGGGTAAAACATGTGGGCTCATGTCTAGTGGCACTCTACATTCACAGTAAGGCCAGCCCTAGAGTTGGCCTTCTCCAGTCACCCTGGTGCAACAGATGTGGGAAGCAGAGTGAGCAGACATTTTAGATTTAGTGATCATAAACGAGATCAGGGAAAACAAAGTCTGAAAGTGCTGACCTGACCGGGTGGCATAAATGAAGGCCCACCTGGTGACCTGTGGTTCTTAGAGCAGCCTCTGACATGCGAGTGGAGGGAGGCTGGATCAGTTGGAAGCCCTCAGAGGTGGCTCTCTATGAAACCAGCTGCTGGTGATCAGCATCCTTATCTGTTTTTCTCAGCCTCTGCCCTTCTTTGTTCTCTAAGCAGGTAGCTGAGGGCAACTTTTTAACATGTCCTTAGCAGGTGAGGCCCCAATTGTCTGAACATCCTTCTAGGTGCTCGATATCCTGCTTGGTGCATGTGTCATTCTCTACAGTTGAAGCTTTGTGATTGACCCAAGTTCATACTTCCCAGCTGGAGTGTTTTTGTTGGAAGCAAGCAGTGCCTTTCTTACATGGGTTAGATATGTACAGCACATATTTTACTTCCTCGAGTTTCCCATGAAGACATTGCACTTCATGATACTGCACTCTTGATCTAACTTGCTGGTTTCCCCTTCATCCCTAGCCTGCCTTTTCACCTTGTCTCTGGATGGATCAGGGCCCTTGACTTCCTTGGCTGTTGGCGACACAGTCTCCTTATTGTGTGCAAGTTTCAGCAGAGGAATTCATTTACTCAGAGTGGACTGCAGGCGAGGGCTGGAACTGCGGGAAGTGACAGCATTCTGATGCCAAGCGACATTCCCTGGAAAATATCAAACTGTGGCCCTTCCTTTCTCAGTGTGGTTTTGTGTTTTTCCACATTATCGTCAGGGGAGAGGGACGTGGGGCTGGTAGTTTCTGCTTAGGTTCACTTAGAAAGTGTATCAGTGTTAGAAGTCGATATAAGTCCAGTGGTTCAAAATCAGGTATAGATGTTAGGAATAATGAACTAAACGTAAGGTTCTCAGTCAAAGTTAAATCTAGATGGAATTTTTTCCTGAGCTTTTTGGACTGCTCTTCCAAAAAAAAGTTTATTGCTCAAAATTATGACCTGTAGGAGTGGTATGCCTCTGTCTGTGAGAGTCACAGCACAGAGTCTGCTTCTATTGAGCTGACCTTTTCTATATCTCCACAAAAGAAAATAAAGTTGAGGGTGGGAGGAGAAACTCTGAGTTGCCTCAGAGTTGTTGAGATGGGAAGGAACACTGCAGCTTCATAGAGAAAATGGCGTGAGATTAAGCTCCAGTGACTGCCCCTCAGCAGTGTGAATAATCGCATTTAGAACGATAAAGCCTTGGGTTCTACTCCAAGTGGAAGTGGGTGGAGTGGGAGGCAGTAAATCTCTTCCTGCTTTTGATACATTCCTAGACCAGAGTTCAGGTTGCATGAAAATGAGAACTGAGATGATTTGAAGAGGCCGACAACTACAGGGCATTTCCCCAGAATTATAGGAGTAAATTAAACATGTTCTGTAGGTAAGAAAACTGGGAAGTTCAGAAATTAAGGCTAAAAAAATTTCATTTCCACATTTAATATTTTTATTTAGTTTACATAATTCTTGGGAATAAGAGAATCTCTGAAACAACAATAGAAAGTATAGAAAAAAGTAGAGGGATAGACCCAATTGTGCCCCAGCCATTGAGCCCCCTTCAGTGAGGAGGGGCAGGCATGCTCAGGCCCCACCTGTGTGGCCCCAGGAGACCAGTCCCGAGCCTGGTACTCCCAGGCCCAATTCCCCCCAGGGAATGTGGAGTCCCCATTGCCTTTAGGCAAGCCTGCACATACGACAACTAGGACCTGGAGATTCCCTTTCTGATGAGTCCCAGCCAAGGAAAGAGATTCTGCAGTTGTCTTCTCTGGCCTCTGCCTGTCCTGGCTACCAGTGGCTGATAGCCATCTTCCCTGTCTGCCTCCTGCTCCTCTTTAGGCCCATATCCCCCATGCCATTTCCAGTATATCTCCCATATGGGAGTCCGTTCTTAAGCTAGGGCAGAATCAGGCCTAAGTTTGAATCTCCGTGTCTCCATTTAGCTGTATGATCTTGGGCAAGCTATAAAATCTCAGTTTCCTCACTTATAAGGTGGGGATCATAAGCATATTCCTCAGAGGGTTGTTCTGAGATTCAACATAACTAATATTAAATGCCAAGCAAGGTAATAGGTGCTTACAAACAGTAGCCACAGTTATTTACTGCCCTCTCTGTCCAGACTAAATCTTCTCTTTTCCAGACTAAACATTTATCATTTCTTTATGCATTTTTCTTAGATCTTATTTTCTAACCCTTTAGTCATTTTTTGGCTCCCCTTTGAATCCTTAAGTCTTACATCTTTAAGCTCTCAAGGACAAAGGAGTAGTGGGAGAGGGAGCTATTTTATTGAGCATCCACAGAAGCTGAGTCTATTTTTTTCACTATAATTCTCGTTGTTATTCCCATTTCACAGGTGAGGAAGTTGAGGCCCAGGGTTATGGAGTCCTTTGCCCAAGGTTACACATTTAGGTAGGAAGGGGAAGAACTGAGATTTGAACCCGCATTTTCCTGACTGGAAGCCAAAAGCATGTTCCTTGCACTCCTTTTCTTTTGCATGATGTCACAAAGCTTTCACTGTGCACTTCAGAAATTCATAGACCATGACATTGTTTGTTTTCTGGACCAGTTATTAACTTTGGCTCCATGGAGGTTCCCTTGGCCAAGTGCCTAGGTCTGTAGACAGGTGTCTAACAGAAAGTCTGAGAGTATCCTGGACTATTAGTGGTACAGCTGACACTCTCCCCTGGAAGGAGATAGGCAGCAACTGTTAGAGAGAGGGCCCCAGGTTGTTGTGGGAGGGGAAAGTATACATGAGAAACTAGTAAGGCTCTGGTGATTTAGCAGTTACCAATAAAATTCTTCCCCTAAACTCAACACATGTGCTTGATGTAAAAATCGTTTATCTGTGCAAATAGATGAGTAAATCCTAATATTTTATAGCACTTTTTAGGCTGATTTGCCCTAGATACTCTGAGCACCTAAGATACTGGCTACTAGAATTCATTCATTCACTTATTGAACACTTCATTTTACAGGCTGCCCCTCTAAAATCATATAAAGGAATTTTCCAAAAACAGTTTACTTTTCTCCAAGAAAATATATAGGCCCGTTGAGATTTGGCCAATTATATATTTATAACAAATATATTTATTATGTTTTTATAATTTAACTATATTTATTTTTTAAAGAAAATGAGTCTGAAGGTGAATATAATGAGGACAAGTTAAGGAGCATGTATCGGAAAATATTTCTCCTAAGTCAGTACTCCTCACACTGCATTGTGGGGATCTTGTATAAATGCAGATTCTCATTCAGTAGGCTGGAGTGAGCCAGAGATCCTGCATTTCTACCAGTCTCCAGACGATGCCCATGCTGTTGGGCCTGTCCTACACTCTGGGCAGGCCTAAGGCAGGGTTCTGAGTGATGAGACTGTGCCGTTTCCACTAGGAGCGCTGCCCCTGCCCTTTACCAGCTCTTGCTAACACTGATCATCACCTGATCAAAACCTGCCTCATCACCATCTTTTTTCCATCCCCCACTGCTCATCCACTGCCTTCTGCTGCCTCTCCTTCCCCAGATGGGTTAATCCCACACAGTACCTCTGCTCCAGACCTTGGCTGGGCTTCACTGAGTCTCATGACTCTTCACTCACCCAATTTCAGGATATTGCTAGGGTGAGGTGCTTTTCCAGTTTGCTGGCCTCGCCCCCCAAGTATGAACTAAATTAGTTTACTCTCAAATTCCTGAGATGCCTCACTATCTCTCCTGGGTATCTCCCCAGAAAAAATTTCCACTGTTTTGCAAAGTACTCCCTAGTGCTGACCACCCACAGACATAATAATGAATTTTCTCGCTAGACAGTGACCTGGAAAAAGGCCTTGGCTGACTTAGTGTTTATTTAAATACCTACAATGCCCTGTCTGTTTTGCTGGTTTCCCTGGTTGTAGAAAACTCGGACTGACTGACTCTTAAGTGAACTTTCCTATTATAAAATAATACATATTTATTGAAAATTTAGGAAATACAGATAAGCAAAAAAAATACCAATAAGCCTATTAGTATAAAAATATCAATAACCCAGAGATAACCATTGTAACATTTTGCGTCATGGCCTTTCAGTCTTCACACATAAATTTTGTTTTATAAAATTTGGCTCACACTACGTGTAGTATTTTGTAAGCTGTTTTTCTCCCTCCGTTTAACAGTATATTGTGACCATTTTTACAAGTCAATAAAAATTCTAGAATAAATCAATAAAAAATTATGTAGTTTCCCACTATTAATATGTTTAATTAATTTGTGGTTAAAACGTAATGAGCATCCCCACTCAACAAAATGATATAGGCATGTCCTTTGGATACTTCCAGGCAATTATATTATCAGGTCAAAGTATATGAATTTCGTCACGGTTTTGGTTGACAAACTGGAAAATGTGGCTTTCAGCTTCTCAATTACAAACCATATCCTTTGGGCTGAATCAGTGTCTTGAATCCCCACTAACCTTCTACCAGTAGTGACATTGGAAACCAAGGAGTTCCAGAGCTGAGAGGGACAGAAAGGCCACCAACTATCACATCTCTCTCTGCAGCTCAGAAAGAAGAGAAATGCTTAGAGATCTTCTTCAGATATCTAAAACTTCCCATAGCCTTTTCTTTCACAGAATTCTAGACTAACCTAAATCTGTAATCATTTCTGCATTTATTCTTCCATCTAATACTTAAATATTTAAAATGAGGGATTTCCATTCAATGAAATACGATTAAAAAAAACAAACAAACCGGTTGCCATAATGTTGATTCTGACTCACGATGACCCCATGCGTGTGTCAGAGGAGAACTGTGCTCCATAGGGTTTTCAATGACTGATTTTTTTTTTTTTTTTGGAAGTAGATCAGCAGGCTTTTCTTCTGAGGAGCTTCTGGGTGGACTTCAGCCTCAGCAGCTAAGTACATTGACTATTTGCACCACCCAGGGATATAACCGTTAAAAAACTGAAAAACCTTTAGTGATAGCAGTTAACTTTACTAAGCCTGAAAAGAAATACTCTACAAATAACTATAACTAACTTAGTGAATTGAGAGAGATTAATTCCCAACATTTACATGCATATCTCTTTGGTTTCCCCTAATAAATAAAATAAACCAGTTAATCAGCTGCAACATTTGAAAAATGTAAAAACAAATCAGTTTTAAAATATAACCTTTTAAAAATTTTCACCTACTACTAAAATAAATGTAATCTCATCATAATGACATAAAAATCAAGTAAAAGTAAACAGAAAGAAGGGGAGAGAGAAAAAGAATGGAAGAAAGAAAAAAAAGAAAAGCAAATGATTAAACTCATGTTCAATACTTTAAAAGCATTTCTTCCCCTGAAGCCATGGACCCTGGACCTTATGTTAACCCAGATCTGAAACAATTCTTGAGGACCACTCTTCAGACAAAGATTAGACTGTACTATAAAACGTAAAATAATAACTCGTGAAGAGTGTGCTTCATAGTTCAAGCAGATACATGAGACCAAATGGGCAGCTTCTCTCTGGAGGCGGGATGAGGAGGCAGGATGAGAAGGCAGGAAAGGGCAGGAGCTGGCTGGATGGACACGGGAAACCTGGGGTGGAAAAGAGGAGTGTGCTGTCACATTGCAGACAGGCAACTAGTGTCACATGACAATATGTGTATAAAATTTTGTATGAGAGATTAACTTGAGCTGTAAACTTT